AGGTAACGTTTTAAAGTGACAGTCAGCACGACTTGTACCCAGCGCGAGGCAGATTCGCCTTCTGTCCAATCATCGCCGAGATTTTGGAGTGGGGGAGGGGAGAGCGTCCCAAGGCGTCCCTGCCCAGGAAGGGGGCGGGGTTAGGCTGAGCCTTGCCCGCCACTACCCATCGTAATGTCACACGGTGCTTGGCACTCCAGAGAGCCAATAGGAACGAAGGGAGCCATTTGAACCGGCCAATTCCGGCGGATGGGGGAGGACGGGGCTTAAAATCCTATAAAGCCGTCGATCCGCGGGACAGGCGGCGGCGGTGGCTCCGGCGGCTTCTCGTGAAGCGGTGGCCGGCTGTTGGGTGTGGAGTTACCCTGCGCCCCTAGGGTCCGACCCTCTGAGCGTTCTGCTCCCGCGCCAGCCTACCTCGCTTCTTGGCGCCATGACCACAACCACCACCTTCAAGGGAGTCGACCCCAACAGCAGGAATAGCTCCCGGTGAGGCGATCCGACCGCGCCCGACCCGCGCGGGGCTGAGGGGCTGGGAGGGCCGCTGCCGGCGGGGCCGGGCGCCGGTCGTTGCGGCCAAGCCCCGTGCGCTGCGCTCGCGCCGGGGCGGGCGGCAGGGATCTGCTACCGGCGCTGCCTTTGTGCCGCCTGGCGAGCCCTGAGCGCCGGCCCCGCCCGGGTCCCTGCTGCTCTCCATTCATTCCTCCCACGGAGCCAGAGGCTTGGGAGGCCGGTGCTGGTCGCCCCTCGGTTCACGGCCGGTTTTGGTTAATCGGAACTTGCGGGGAGGACTTCCCTTTTTTCCTGTGTGCGTCCAGGTTGGTCCATACCCAGGATGGTGGGCTTGGCCTCGCAGGTGCCCTGGGAGCCTTTAGGGCCCCGTGGTCAGACCCTATTGTCCCATCGCCGGGCCACGCGCTCCTTCTGCCTCTGACCCAGGGCATGCGGCTGGTCTGGCGCTCGGGCGCAGCGATCGGATCTGGAGACCTTATCGGTCAGGTCCGGTGGCTCCTTACCCTCGCCGTGCCCCTACTCTTTATTCGGATCTACCTGGCAGGTGAATTTGTGGTCGGGCGGGGCTGATTATTGCGACCCTTTACTCCCATTTAGGACCCAATCGTTCGTCCCCTCTTTGAAGTGCCTCCCCTCTTCCAAGTGCCTCCTCTTTCCTAACAAAGGAAAGACCCCTTCTCCCCCTCCCTGCGCCCATTTCTAAGAGGGAGGGCGAACGAGCCAACCCGAGTGGGTTTTCTGCGCTTAAACCTTCGGACCCTGGTCTTTGCATCCCACCTTCTTTGCTTCCTCGTTTGACGTTTGACCAATGAGTTCATCCCTGGCCCCGGTTCCCTTGCAGGAGGAGGTTTCTTGTTCTTGGGCGGGGCCGGAGACATCCATTGTCTCTAACATAGTATCTCTACCTGGGAAGCGGGGGATTTTTCTTGCCCTTCATCCCACTGCTTTTTGGGCTTGAGGCACTGGGCACAGTGTTTGGACAGGAACCCTTTTGCAAGTGCTTGCTTAACTTGGTGGAAGGGTTTCGATTCTGTGGAAGGTGTGTGTCCACATTGTCTCACACACTGTTCTTTAAGGTGGGTTACAGGCATATCTGGGATCCTCCTCAAGGCTTGGAGGAAGCTTCGATTCCACTTTATTGAGCATGTATTTACATTGATTATGACCTGCATTCATGTGTGGCTAGCCTCGGGGTCTTGACCAAGTGGCACAAAGGGAGCCATTTTGTGGGGCTAAGAAGACACGTGAAATAGCAATATCTCACAGGGGTTAGAGAACTTGGGAACAAAAAGCACGCCTCACTCAGCAACTGAGCCTTAGGAGAAAAGCATGGGAAATGACATTCCTTTGCAACTCATTTCTTTCAGGTTTACAATGTCAAAAAGACTGGGTAAGATTCAAAAAAATAAATTGGTGATTACTGGGAGGAGGAGGAACTTGAGTAGCATAGACACAGGAAAACTGGTCGCTCCCTTTCTGTTATATTTCTAGTGAGATAATGTTTTCAGAGGACAGGAACAGATTGAGCCTTGGCTTTTCATTTTATGTTGCGAGGGCAACTTACTGCTGATGAGACCTCAGTTGTTGGAATGATACTGTGTAATCTGGGGTTTTATTCTTTGGGGTTGAGTTCATATTAGTGTTTTGTAAAGAATTTCAGTAATCAGGTCAAATGAATCCTCACACTTGCAATGTGAGACAAATGAGTTTTGATCCTGCGAAATAAATATTTTAGTTCACCTCTTGTCATCAGTTTCCTCCCAACACTGTGCTGTAGGGACTGTAGTAGCATCGTCATCTTATTGTTTCTCTACCTTCCCTTTTCTATAATTTCACCTAATTCTCATAAACGTATTTTCTCTAATAATGTTCTCCTGCCTCCATAAATTTGTTATAAATTTAGTCTGGTAGGGAATGAGCTGCAAAGATATTCAGAAACTTTGAGATTTAAAGAGAGAAGAAAGAAAATGAGTGATTTTTAAAAAATTGGTATCTATAGTACTTGGACACATTTTTGGTCAGTCTTAAATATATAATCCTGATTTAGTTGTTGTGTGTGGTTCTGAAAGAATGGTAGGATGCTAAAACATTGAGATACTTTCTGCCTTATGATCTACATCCTTTGTTTGGGGATGTGTCGCTATTACAAATGGTCTCTACAACACTGACGTCATTCGAGTTGGTTAGTACCTGCTATTGCAGGAGGCACACAGACCTTTAAAAAGTTGGACTGGTTAGAGTTTAGATTTGCTCTTAAGCTGGTGTTTGGGTACTAGTGTCTTTTTCTTGATTTTTGTTTTTTTTTTTTTTTTGAGACGGAGTTGTGCTCTTGTTGCCCAGGCTAGAGTGAAAAGCTGCTGTCTCCACTCACCGCAACCTCTTGCTTCTGGGTTCAAACGATTCTCCTCCCTCAGCCTCCCTAGCTGAGATTACAGGCATGTGCCACCACGCATGGCTAATTTTTTATTTTTAGTAGAGATGGGATTTCTCCATGTTGGTCAGGCTGGTCTCAAATTCCCAACCTTAGGTGATCTGCCCGCCTCAGCCTCCCAGAGTGTTGGGATTACAGGCGTGAGCCACCTCACCTGGCCTTTTATTTATTTATTGAATTTTTTGAACAGAGTCTCACTTTGTTGCCAGGCTGGAGTGCAGTGGCGGGATCTCGGCTCACTGCAACCTCCGCCTCCTGAGCTCAAGTGATTCTCCTGCCTCAGCCTCCCCAGTAACTGGGACTACAGGTGCGTGCCACCACGCCTAACTAATTTTTGTACTTTTTTAGTAGAGACGGGTTTCATGTTCGACCTCATGATCTGCCCACCGCAGGATTACAGGCATGAGCCACCTTGTCTGGCCTTAATTGTATTTTTATTATTACTGCTATTTTTTGAGACGGAGTCTGGCTCTTTTGCCCAGGCTGGTGCGCAGAGGCAAGATCGCAGCTCACTTGTATAACCTCTTCCTCCTGGGTTCAAGCAATTCTCCTGCCTCAGCCTCCTGAGTAGCTGGGATTATAGGTGAACACCACACCTGGCTAGAGGTTCTATATGTTCTTAGAAAAATATTTCTTATGGCCTAGTGTGGTGGCTCACACCTGTAATCCCAGCACTTTGGGAGGCCGAGTGGGGCGGATCATGAGGTCCGGAGTTCAAGACTAGCCTGGCCCACATGGCAAAACCCCGTCTCTACTAAAAATACGAAAATACTAGCTGGGCCTGGTGGTGCATGCCTGTAATCCCAGCTCCTCTGGAGGCTGAGGCAGGAGAGTCTCTTGAATCCGGGAGGCAGAGGTTGCGGTGAGCCGAGATCGTGCCATTGCACTTCAGCCTCGGCAACAAGAGTGAAACTCCATCTCAAAAAAAAAAAGAAAGAAAAATGTTTCTTACTCAAACTGCTTTATAAAGAAACAAACTAGACCACTCATCAGCAATAAAGGAATTGAATCAGTAGTTAAAAGTTTTCCCATATTCTGTAAATTACATAGGCAGTAGGAAAACACAAAGTTAAAAGAAAAAGTCAGCTGGGTTCGGTGGCTTATGCCTGTAATCTCAGCACTTTGAGAGGCTGAGGCCGGTGGATCACCTGAGGTCAGGAGTTCAAGACCAGCCTGACCAACATGGTGAAACCCTGTCTTTACCATATTACCAAAATTAGGCTGGGCATGGTGGCTCACGCCTGTAGTTCCAGCACTTTGAGAGGCTGAGGTGAACAGACTGCCAGAGGTCAGGAGGTCCAGACCAGTCTACCCAACATGGTAAAAACCTGACTCTACTAAAAATACACACAAAAAAAATAGCTGGGTGTGGTGGCACATGCCTGTAATCCCAGCTACTCTGGAGGTTGAGGCAGGAGAATTGCTTGAATCCAGGAGGCGGAGGTTGCAGTGAGCCATGATTTCACCACTGCACTCCAGCCTGTAAGAGGCAAGACTCAATCTCAAAAAGTATTCCCATAAAACCACCTGGATTTTCTGTTTTGAGAGGTGGCAAGAGGAGTTAAATTGAGTTTTCCAAGGAGACAAATTGGTCAACCTATGGCAGGAAGATTTGGAAATGTTAAAAAATATATTTCCATGTTGAACAAAAAGCTATAGATGATGTCCAAAGGAACACAGACCTAGACCATGATGTGGAACCTTATACTTAATTTCTCATTCTGACTTTGCCCTAATGGCTAGTCACTCATGTTTACTGTGAGAATGGTGAGGTACAAGGCTTATTAGTGAGGTTGATATAGAAGAAACTATTATCAGCTCTTCTTGGGCTTCTAAATTGGTCCAGCCAACTTGAGTGTGTGTGTGTGTGTGTGTGTGTGTGTGTGTAAGTAAGTAAGTAAGTAATTTAGAGACGGGGATCTCACTATGTTGCCTAGGCTGGCCTTGAACTCCTGGGCTCAAGCAATCCTCCTGCCTCAGCTTCTAGAATGGCTGGGACTACAGGGGCCTGCCACTGACCCAGCCCAAGTTATTTATGTAGTTAAAAATAAGGAAGTGATTTTAAAAATTTTATTTACTTTTTGCATTTTGATACAGTTTTGCTCTGTCACACAGGCTGGAGTTCAGTGGTGTGAGCACAGCTCACTGCAGTCTTGACCTCCTGGGCCGAAGCGATCCTTCTGTCTCAGACTCTGGTGTAGCTGGGACCACAGGCATGCACCACCACGCTCGGCTAATTTTTATTTTTATTTTTATTTTTTATAGAGACGGGGTCTTGCCATTTTGCCCAGGCTGGTCTTGAACTCCTAGGCTCAAGTGATGATCCTGCCTTGGCCTCCTAGAGTGCTGGGATTACAGGTGTGTTCCAGTGCCTGGAAGTGATTTTTAAATGAATAATAACAAGAAATGTTTCTAAAACTTCTTTGCAAATATATTCCACCAGCTCCAGTAGAGTAAGGTCCAGTAGGTCTTTTGCCATTTCTGAAAAGGTGACACCAACCAGGCTGTTAATTGTGATGAGTTCCACCCTGTTTCAGCTGCCTCGTGTTGTCCATTACTGCATTACAAGCATTATAAGGCAGTATTTAGTATCTTCACATCCAGCATTGAATGTACACGCTGATGAAGTTGATTCCTTTTTTCTGTTAGCAGCTGTCTGTTGTAGGGGTGAGGGAAATGAATGGGTGAGGAGAGTGAAATGAAGGTTGTCTGAAAAGATTTATGCCAAGAAATGTTTCAGTATGATCTGAAGTTGATGTTTTGCCATTATTTGTAGGGTTTTGCGGCCTCCAGGTGGTGGATCCAATTTTTCATTAGGTTTTGATGAACCAACAGAACAACCTGTGAGGAAGAACAAAATGGCCTCTAATATCTTTGGGACACCTGAGGAAAATCAGGCTTCTTGGGCCAAGTCGGCAGGTATTCTTGTTATCTGTGCTCACTGTTCAAAGGTATGGGCCCAGGATCAACAGCCACAGATGCAGCCTGGGAATCAAAGTGTGCCCCCATCTCTATAAAACAAAACAAAAATTAGCTGGTGGTAGGGGCAGTGTGGATGTAGTTTCTAATACTTGGGAGGCTGAGGTGGGAGGATCACTTGAGCCTGGGAGGTAGAGGTTACAGTGAGTTGTGATTGAGCCACTGCCCCCCAGCCTAGGTGACAGAGTGAAACCCTGTGTCAAAAACAAACAAAAGAGAAATTAACTACAGCTGGATTTGAACTAATAACAAAATCTAGCTTAATAATAATAAAACATCAGTTTAGATTTAACATGCGAGGAAAGAGATGGGAAATACTAGGAGGCTGTGTGATGGATCAGAGTTGGTACTGAAGTCAGACTGGGTTAACATTTAAGTAATTAGCTTAACTTCCTTAAGACTGTTTTCTTGGCTGGGCGCGGTGTCTCACACCTGTAATCCCAGCACTTTGGGAGGTCGAGGTGGGTGGATCACAAGGTCAAGAGATTGAGACCATCCTGGTCAACATGGTGAAACCCCGTCTCTACTAAAGATACAAAAAATTAGCTGGGCATGGTGGCACGTGCCTGTAATCCTAGCTACTCAGGAGGCTGAGGCAGGAGAATTGCCTGAACCCAGGAGGCGGAGGTTGCAGTAGCCGAGGTTGCGCCATTGCACTCCAGCCTGGGTAACAAGAGCGAAACTCCGTCTCAAAAAAAAAAAAAAAAAGACTGTTTTCTTGGCCGGCTGTGGTGGCTTACACCTGTAATCCAAGCACTTTGGAGGCCAAGGCGGGCGGATCACCTGAGGTCCAGAGTTCAAGACCAGCCTGACCAACACGGTGAAACCCCATCTTAAAAAAAAAAAAACAGACTTTTCTCATTTTGTAATATGAGATTGACACATAACGTCAATTGCTGAACTGTTTTGTTTTAGATTTTTTCTGTTGTATTTCTGAAGAAAGTATATTTTGAATTTTAGGTGCCAAGTCTAGTGGTGGCAGGGAAGACTTAGAGTCATCTGGACTGCAGAGAAGGAACTCCTCAGAAGCAAGCTCCGGAGACTTCTTAGATCTGAAGGTCAGTGTGACAGCATGAGGACAGAAAGTCTTCGAGGTCAATACGATTCTGAAATTTGTACTAAGTTTTCAGTTCTGCCACTGGAATTTTACATTGAGGTAGTTAGGAAAGGGACTGGGCCGTGTTGATAATGGAAGATTGAGAGAGTAAAAGCAGAGAAGTGCATTAACATGATCTCAGTCTGTTTCTGTCTCTCTTACCATTAGGATTTGTTTTATCTCCTATATTGATTTTTGGAACTTGTGGATCTTTCTTACTTCCTGTGTGTCACATATATAGAAACATTTCTGGGTTTAGGGACTGTTTTTTGCTAATATGGCTTTGCCTGGAACTCCAGGAGACTAGTGCTGGCATGACCACTAGTTGTGTCTGGAGTTGAGTACTGCCACCAAGTGCCCTATGGTGTGTGTTGGAAAGACCTCCCCACTAAATCCCTTAGAGCACATTGAGGCATCACCTGTCTGAGTGTGAAGAGAACTGGAGAAGGGCTTTGGAACCGATAGGGGTCCTTCCACAACTAGATAAGGGGAAAGGAGAGAGACAAATGAAAGGATAGATTTACCAGTTTTCCATTCTAATGCAAGATCTCTGAAATGCTCATTGGTATAGGGTCATCAGAGTAAATGTTTAGGTTTTTTGCTTTAGATGTGTTCCTGGCACCAGGGCAATTTCTCATGCAGAATATTTGCTTGTTCTAAGTTGGACAGAGGTAGCAGACTGGCCCTGGGCTTAATTGCATCAAAATGAAATGTCACATTTGGTGTCAAATAAATGTTAGCTGCTATGAACTATGACTTTTTTTGTGTTCCAAAATTAAAGTAGGAAGTAAATTTTTGAATTTTTTTCTTTTCTAGGGAGAAGCTGATATTCATGGTGAGTACTTCTGAAGACCAAATTTCTGGCTCTGTCAGTGGTTTTAGGACAGATCTGAATTTTGATTTAAATCATGTCGGCTGGGCGCAGTGGCTCACACCTGTAATCCCAGCACTTTGGGAGGCCAAAGCAGGTGGATCTCGTGGTCAGCAGTTCAAGACCAGCCTGGCCAAGATGGTGAAACTCCGTCTCTATTAGAAATATAAAAATTAGCCAGGTGTGGTGACAGGTGCCTGTAATCCCAGCTGCTCTGGAGGCTGAGGTAGGAGACTTGAACCTGAGGGGCGGAGTGAGCTGAGATGGCACCACAGCACTCCAGCCTGGGTGACAAAGCAAGACCCCATCTCTAAATAAATAAACAAAATCATGTCTTGGGGAAAGAGACTGGGGAGTGAAACCTGGCTGTGCCCCAAGTGCTGCTACCCTTTCGTTTCCTGGGAGAGGAAACGAAAATGAAACTGGACAGTTAGTAAACATGGCCACATTCTTAATCTGCCAGTAATGCGATCAATGCTAGAAATGTAATAGAGAAAAATCGGAGAATCCTTTAAAATTACATATAGAGACTGGGCGTGGTGGCTCACGCCTGTAATCTCAACACTTTGGGAGGCTGAGGCAGGCAGATTGCTTGAGCCCAGGAGTTCAAGACTAGCCTAGGAAGCATGGTGAAACCCCATCTCTATAAAAAAGTATAAAATAGCCTGGCATGGTGGCACATGCCTGTAGTCCAACTACTCAGGAGGCTCAGGTGGGAGGATTGCTTGAGCCCAGGATGTGGAGGTTGCAGTGAGCAGAGATCACACCATTATACTCCAGTCTGGGTGACAGAGTGAGACCTTGCCTCAAAAAAATAAACCCAAATATATCTATACTCAAACACATACACCCACATTTAATCAGGTCAGTATTTGTTACACTTAATGAGAGCTTTTTTTTTTTTTTTTTTTAAATAGACGGAGTTTCGCTCGTTACCCAGGCAGGAGTGCAATGGTGTGATCTCGGCTCACTGCAACCTCCGCCTCCTGGGTTCAGGCAATTCTCCTGCCTCAGCCTCCCGAGTAGCTGGAACTACAGGCACGCACCACCATGCCCAGCTAATTTTTGTATTTCTAGTAGAGGCAGGGTTTCACTTTGTTGACCAGGATGGTCTCGATCTCTTTGACCTCGTGATCCACCTGCCTCGGCCTCCCAAAGTGCTGGGATTATAGGTGTGAGCCACCGTGCCCGGCCCTGTATTTTTATTAGAGATAGGGTTTCACCATGTTGGTCTAGTCTCTTAGATTAGACCTTGCCAGGATGGTCTCAATCTCTTGATCTCGTGAACCACTGTGCCCAGCCTCATTTTTAAAATTTATTATTTACTTTTTTTTTTTTTTTGAGACAGAGTCTTGCTCTGTTGCCCAGGCTGGAGTGCAGTGGTGTGATCTCCACCTCCTGGGTTCAAGCAATTCTCCTCAGCCTCTGAGTAGCTGGGTCTACAGGCATGTGCCACCACACCTGGTTACTTTTTGTATTTCTAGTAGAGATAGGGTTTCACTATGTTAACCAGGCTGGTCTCGAACTCCTGACCTTAGATAATCTGCCCACCTCGGCCTCCCTAAGTGCTGGGATTACTGGAGTGAGCCACTGCACCTGGCCTCTCTCAGCTGATTGTTAAATCTTTTTGTATTTTTAGTAGACACAGACTTTTTGCCATGTTGGCCAGGCTGGTCATAAACTCCTACATCCTTCCTTTCTTTTCTCTCCCAGTGGTCACCTGTTGTTGTTTTAAACAATTCATTCAAGAAAAGAAACTTTTTTTTTTGAGATGGAGTCTTGCTCTGTCACCAGGCTGGAGTGCAGTGGCAAGATCTCAGCTCACTGTAACCTCTGCCTCTCAGGTTCAAGCGATTCCCCTGCCTCAGCTTCCTGAGTATCTGGGACTATAGGCGCGTGCCATCACGCCTGGCTAACTTTTTTTATTTTAGTAGAGATGGGGTTTCACCATGTTAGCCAGGATAATCTTGATCTCCTGACCTTGTGATCCACTTGCCTTGGTCTCCCAAAGTGCTAGGATTACAGGTGTGAGCCACCGAACCCAGCCTTTTTTTTTTTTTTTTAATTGAGCCAGATCTCTGTCCCCCATTCTGAAGTACAGTGGCACGATCTTAGGTCACTGCAACTTCCACCTCCTGGGTTTCAGTGATTCTTCTTCAGCTTCTCGAGTGATTGGGACTACAGGTGTGTGCTACCACGCCTGGCTAATTTTTCTATTTTTAGTAGAGATGGTGTTTCGCCATGTTGGCCAGGCTGGTCTCAAACTCCTGACCGCAGGTGATCCTCACCTTGGCCTTTCCAAGTGCTGGGATTATGGACATGACTGCGCCAGCCAATTTTTGTAGTTTTTGTAGAGACAGGGTTTTGCCAGGTTTCCCAGGCTGGTCCTAGGTTCCTGTTGATCTTCCTGCCTTGGCCTTCCAAAATCCTGGGATTATTGGTGTGAGCCACCATGCCTGGCTGGAGTACGGTAATAAGATACATCTGGAGGATTAAACGTCAACCCCAATTCAGTTTAAATAAGATGGACTCCCTTTGGATATAAGGGAGATTGCTTTTACCTCCACAGGAATGACTTTGGAGTTTCCGTCCTGAGAAATCTTTAAGAGGGAGAAAGTCCAGGAATTTCAGGTAGAAAAGTCTTTCCCTAACTGCAGGCAGGTTGATGGTCTGCTCCTTTTCTTCAGGTCCTGATTCTTTGATGCTTACAATGAGTCATTTTCTTCTATTCAGATAGAGGTGTCTTTGTTCAGTTATCTTATTGATGTGCTGAAGAAGAGAGACAAGTCAGGAGTCGCTAAAATGTATATTTTGGTAGAAATAATTTCATTTAAATATTCAACAGACAAAAGCTTTCTGTGTCAAATTGGTATAAAAATTTCTAAACAATCCCAATTCCTGTACTTATCTCATTATAGGCTAGTAACAAACTAACCTCCCTCTTCTGTGGCTGGACTATTTGTAACTGGACATTTATTTTATTTATTTTGAGACAAAGTCTTGCTCTTGTCCACCAGACTGGAGTGCAGTGGTGTGATCTCGGCTCACTGCAACCCCCACCTCCCAGGTTCAAGCCATTCTCCTGCCTCAGCCTCCCTAGGAGCTGGGATTACAGGCACTGGTCACCATGCCCAGCTAATTTTTGCATTTGTAGTAGAGACGGTTTTCACCATGTTGGCCAGGCTGGTCTGGAACTCCTGACCTCAGGTTATCTGCTTGCCTGGGCTTCTAAAAGTGCTGGGATTACAGGCGTGAGTCACGCCCAGCCTGGACAGACATTTTAATTTAATTAAGGACCTGCTGCTGCTTGTTTAGGCTCCCTGTGTGCTTTTTTGTTCTTTATTGGTATGTTATGTATTTGTGAAAAACAAAACAGTTCTATTAATAACGTAAGACAAATATAAGATTAGTAGGATTGAACTTGATTCATCCAAAGAGCATTTTGTGAAAATAAACCACCATGGGAGGGCTGTAAGATTATGTTTTGTTCTTCAGAGTATTCATTAACTGCTTGATTCAGACAGAGAATGAAGAATTCAGTCAGATCCTATATGTATAGCAGGAGGCCATGTCCCACCAGCAGAAATGAAACTACCTGAACTAATAAGTTGTCTTAGTCTGAATTCTAGTGTTTTTTTTTTTTAATGTGGAGTTTTGTTTTTCTTTTATATTTACAATTTAGGTTATTTTAGGGACATTTATTGCAGGACTTGTGTGTCTGATCGAGTGCATTTGATCTTGCTGCTTTTTACAATGGATGTAACCATAGGAAACTAACAGGTGACCCTCTCTGAGTTATAGTTGATAATTGTGATGGCTGTCATCCTGGAAAGCTTCATACTCTAGTTTTGCTTGTAGTCACATTGTATAGAGCATTTTATATGTTATTTCCATAGAATATCCCAGAAATTCATGAAATGTTAAAAGGAGCATATTCCTGAGATTTTGTTGTGTTTTGGATCTAAGAATATATATTTTTAGTTCAAAGACTTCTTGGCTGGGCGAGGTGGCTCACGCCTGTAGTAGCAGCCCTTTGGGAGGCCGAGGCGGGTAGATCACCTGAGGTCAGGAGTTCAAGACCAGCCTAGCCAACACAGTGAAACCCTGTCTCTATTAAAAATACAAAAAATTAGTCAAGCGTTGTGGGGTTACCTGTAATCCCAGCTACTTGGGAGGCTGAGGCAGGAGAAATCACTTGAACCTGGAAGGCATAGCTTTCGGTGAGCCGAGATTGTGCTACTGCATTCCAGCCTGGAAAACAAGAGTGAAACTCTGTCTGAAAAAAATGGAAGAAAAAAAGGCCAGGCGTGGTGGCTCACGCCTGTATTCCCAGCACTCTGGGAGGCCTAGGTGGGCAGATCACAAGGTCAGGAGTTCGAGACCAGCCTGGCCAATATGGTGAAACCTCATCTCTACTAAAAATAGAAAAATTAGCTGGGCATGGTGGCTCAGGCTTGTAGTCCCAGATGCTTGGGAAGCTGAGGCAGAAGAATCGCTTGAACCCCAGAGACAGAGGTTGCAGCGAGCTGAGATTGTGCCACTGCACTCTAGCCTGCGCGACAGAGCGAGACTCCATCTCAAAAAGAAAAAATTAAAAAGAAAACTAGGCCAGGTGCAGTGGCTTAATGCCTATAATCCCAGCACTTTGGGAGGCCAAAGTGGGCAGATCAGTTAAGGCCAGGAGTTCGAGACCAGCCTGGCCAACATGGCAAAACCCTGTCTCTACTAAAGATATGAAAATTAATCTGGCATGGTGGTACGCAACTGTAATCCCAGTTTGGGAGGCTGAGGTAGGAGAATCGCTGGAAGCTGAGAGGCAGAGGTTAAAGACCCTGTCTCAAAAAAAAAACAAAAACACCTAAGAAAGAAAAGAAAACTAGGCTGGGTGAAGGGTGAAGGGGCCTCATGCCTGTAATCCCAGCATGTAGGGAAGCTGAGATGGAAGATCACTTGAGCCAGGAATTCAAGACCAGCCTGGGCAAGATCAGGAGACCCTATCTCTTAAAAAGAAAGAAAGAAAAAAAAAAAACAGCCAGGTGTGGTGTTGTGCAACTGTTTTAGTCCCAGCTATTTGGGAGACTGATGTAGGATTGCTTGAGCCCAGGAGTTTGAGGCTACAGTGGTGTCTGTGATTGAGCCACTGCACTGCAGCCTGGGCCACAGTGTGAGACCCTGCCTCAATATCCATCCCCCTACCCCCCAAAAAAACTAAACTAAAAGTAATTCAACTATTAAGCTCTCAGTAAAAATTTCTTTTCACAGAAAATACAGAATTTTTGCATTCATTCTTCACTTTGTTATTTATATTTTTTAGACGGAGTCTCTGTTGCCCAGGCTGGAGTCGCAGTGGTGGATCTCAGCTCACTGCAATTCCACCTCCTGGGTTCAGGCAATTCTCCTGCTTCAGCCTCCCAAGTAGCTGGGACTAAGGTGCGTGCCACCATGCCCCGCTAATTTTTGTATTTTTAGTAGAGGTGGGGTTTCACCATGTTAACCTGGATGGTCTTGATCTCCTGACCTCATGATCTGCCTGCCTTGGCCTCCCAAAGTGCTGGGATTACAGGCATGAGCCACTGTGCCCGGCCTCATTCTTCTGTTTGAATCAGTGTTTTTTCTTTTCTTACTTTTTTTTTAGACAGAGTCTTGCTTTGGCGCCAGGCGCCAGGCTGGAGTGCAGTGGCACGATCTTGGCTCACTGCAATCTCCACTTCACAGATTCAAGCAATTCTCCTGCCTCAGCCTCCTGAGTAGCTGGAACTATAGGTGTGTGCCACCATGCCCAGCTAATTTTTGTATTTTTTAGTAGAGATGGGTGTCACCATGTTGGCCAGGATGGTCTCTATCTCTTGACCTTGTGATCTGCCCTCCCAAAGTGCTGGGATTACAGGCATGAGCCACCACACACCCTGCTTGAATCAGTGTTTTTTCTAGTTTTGGAGACAACCCTAATGAGAGTTCGTTTGGAAAGGTCAGATTGGTTTGTTTTTTTGCTGTCAGAAAATTGGATAAATAGACTGTATCATGTGGTAATTGCTATAAAATAGCAGTTAAGCTTGATAGTGAAGTGAGGGATTTGAAAAAAATGCAGTTAATGAGCAAGGTGAATTACAACCATGTGTAAGTATTGGAATACTTCTCCTAGAGTAAAAACAAAGGAAACTGATACCATTTATGCAAATGTAACCAAAACAGTGTTACGTGTTACCTGGCTACATATAAATAAATGTCCATGAAACAAGTGAACTAGAAGGATGCTGAGGACTTGCAGTGGGACCTCTGGGAATGGCCAGAGCAGGATCCATCCGGAGGTGGAAGGGGCCGGAGAGTTAGAGTTCCCTGTTCTTATTAAAAATCTTCATCTTCATGTATTCATGTAATTTAGAAAAGAAGGTAACCAACAAATATGGGAAAACATGAACAATGGTTAATTTTGTGGAGTTGGGAACATGGCAGATGATTATTTTCTTTATACTTTGAGGTATGTTTCCAACCATCAAACAAAAATTAAAACAAAAAAAAACAGACCCTTAATCTTAACAGGAAATACCTGTGGTTATGAGCGTTATTTCTATTCTGTTTTCATAGAAAATGTGGACACAGATTTGCAAGGCAGCCTGGGGCAGAGTGAAGAGAAGCCTGTGCCTGCCGCGCCTGTGCCCAGCCCGGTGGCCCCGGCCCCAGTGCCATCCAGGAGAAATCCCCCTGGTGGCAAGTCCAGCCTTGTCTTGGGTTAACTCTTTACTGTCCTGAACGCTGTCGTTTTGTTTGTTTCCTTCATGCTTGTGAACTGCACAACTTGAGCCTGACTGTACATCTCTTGGATTTGTTTCATTAAAAAGAAGCACTTTATGTACTGCTGTCTTTTTTTTTTTGAATAACAGGTTTCTCTCTGTCTTGACTCCTGGGTCTGTGGGCCATGGCATGAGTGTTTTCTAGTAGTAGATTGGAGGGAAAGCTTTGTGACACTTAGTACTGTGTTTTTAAAAACAAATTAATTTGGTTCCAGATGTGTTAGAGGATCTTTTGTACTGGGGTTTTAACACTTTACTTGGGTTTACCAAGCCTCAGCCGGACAGACCATAGCCAGTCCACAGGCACTGTTCCCGCCAGGCCCCAGCACACAGGGTGTCTCTCCGCAGAGCCTTCTTGGTGTTGCCCTAACTTGCCAGTGGCCTTTGCTCGGAGCCTCCTCCTGTACCATGTGGAACAATGAAGAGGCCTGTGCCTCATGCCTTGCCGCCTGCAAAGCAAAGAAACTGCCCTTTATTTTTTAACCTTTTTTTTTTTTTTTTTTTTTTTTGAGATGGAGTCTCGCTCTGTTGCCTAGGCTGGAGTGCAGTGGCACAATCTTGGCTTACTGCAACCTCGGTCTCCCGGATTCAAGCGATTCTCCTGCCTCAGCCTCCCAAGTAGCTGGGATTACACACCCCTGCCACCACACTCGGCTAATTTTTTTGTATATATAGTAGAGACAGGGTTTCACCATGTTGGCTAGGCTGGTCTCAATGACCTCATATGATCCACCCGCATTGGCCTCCTAAAGTGTTGAGACTATAGGCTTGAGCCACCACACTAGCCTATTTCTTAACCTTAAGAAGTAGCCAGATAGTAACGTGGCTGGCTGATGAGCAAAGCTTGTTGCTCTCATGCAGAAGGTGGCTTGGATGTACAATGAAACTGACTGGAACTAAAAGCAGTGAAGCAAGGGAGGCAGTCACACCAAAGTGGGTCTTCATTTAGGAACGGGGTCCCATGGGGGCGAGGGGTGTTTTAAATAACTTGATGCTGTGTGCATGATGCTGGTGCTTGACCATGAAAGGAAAGTCTCATCCTTAAAATGTGTGTTGTACTTCACAATCCTGGACTGTTGCTTCAAGTAAACAATATCCACATTTTGAAACATTGTGTACTGTGTCTTCTTTTTGAGATGGTTTCAGTGTTCTCCCTGGTTAGATGCTTTTCTTGTTGTCACAAAAAATCCTGCCCACTGATTGGATGAGTCATTTGAAGTTAAAACAGCTGGGTGTGCCTGTAATTAGCTACTTGGGATGCTGAGGCAAGAGGATACCTGAGCCCAGGGGTTTGAGATTATCCTTAAATAGATGAAGACCCAGAGAGAAGTGGGTTTCTCTCGGAAAAAGTCTCTAAAGAGAAGCAGGTTAGACTCTTCTGCTACCTCCCCTTTGTTCTGGGGTAACATTTTAAAGTGTTCTCCAAGCCTGGGCAACACGGTGAAACCTCGCCTCTACCAAAAAATAAAAAAAAAATTAAAATTATTCATAAAAGAAAAAAAATTAGGCGGGTGTGATGATACACACCTGTAGTCCCAGATACTCGAGAGGCTGAGGTGGGAGGATCACTTGAGCTCACGAGATGGACGCCACAGGGAACCAAGATCATACCTGCTGCACTCCAGCCTGGGTGACAGAGCAAGATCCTATCTCAGAGTCTTCTCCAACTTACATATGTGGGGATTTCTCCCCACCAGCAGCAATTCTGCAGTGGATACCAGCTAGTGTCCTCAATTTTTTTTTCTTTTAAGATGTTATCTCACTCTGTCACCCAGGCTGAAGTGTAGTGGCATGATCTCCACTCACTGCCACCTCTGCCTCTCAGGGTCTAGCGATTCTCCTGCCTCAGCCGCCCAAGTAGCTGGGACTATAGGCACCTGCCGCCACACCCAGCTAATTTCTGTATTTTTAGTAGAGATGGGATTTTGCCATGTTGCCCAGGCTGGTGTTGAACTCCTGACCTCAAGTGATCCACCTGCCTGGACTTCCCAAAGTGCTGGGAGTACAGGCATGAGCCACCAACCCGGCCCTCCAATTCAATTCTGACAGTCATCTACCTGGACATAGCTTAGATTCCACAGGTTCAGGGCTCAGCCCCCAAGAATGCTTCCCCTTGAAATAAATCGCAAATCTGGAAATGTCTGCGTATCTATGAGTTGTATACATGTTGACTTGAGACCCTCTTAAGACTGTTTTTGCGATGCTTCTGTTACATGTATGTGGAAGCAGTGGGCTGGTGAGATGGGCCACTTAAATCTGTGTTTATAATTTTGGCTCCTCCTCCCCTGACACCCAGGCTGGACTGCAGTGGCAGGATGAAGGCTCAGTGTAGCCTCAACTTCCTGGTCTCAAGGGATCCTCCCGCCTCAGGCTCATGAGTAGCAAGGACCACAGGCATGCACCACCACATTCAGCTTATTGATTTATCGTAGCGGCAGGGTCTCCCTATGTTGCTCAGGCTGGTCTTGAACTCCTGGGCTCAAGTGATCTGCCTGGGCCTCCCAGAATGCTGGGATTACTAGCCTGGATTTATAGTTTGTAGGTAAATAGATTTGGGTAGAGTCAGGAAGTTTCATGAAATCCACAAAAAGGAGTCAAATTAATCACAGTTAAGCATTTTCTACATGGGAGTAGAAAATGCCAGTTCTAGGCCGGGCGCGGTGGCTCAAGCCTGTAATCCCAGCACTTTGGGAGGCCGAGGTGGGTGGATCACGAGGTCAAGAGATTGAGACCATCCTGGTCAACATGGTGAAACCCCGTCTCTAATAAAAATACAAAAAAATTAGTTGGGCATGGTGGCGCGTGCCTGTAATCCCAGCTACTCAGGAGGCTGAGGCAGGAGAATTGCCTGAATCCAGGAGGCGGAGGTTACGGTGAGCCGAGATTGCGCCATTGCACTCCAGCCTGGGTAACGAGCGAAACTCCGTCTCAAAAAGAAAGAAAGAAAGAAAGAAAATGCCAGTAAGCAATGTTAGTTCTACATAAAGTCCTGAGGACAGTCCTGATTACTTGTACCTGATCAAAATCATCTTTACAGGATCAAGCTTGAAACTCCCATTTTATTTTTTGTTTTGAGATGGAGTCTCTCTCTGTCTGCCAGACTGGCAATTCTCCTGCCTCAGCCTCCCGAGTGGCTGGGATTACATGCATGCGCCACCGTGCCCAGCTAATTTTTGTATTTTAGTAAATGGGAGTTTCTTCTTATCGGTCAGGCTGGTCTCGAACTCCCGACTTAAGGTGATCAGTCCGCCTCGGCCTACCAAAGTGCTGGATTACAAGCGTGAACCACCGCGCTCGGCGCTTCCCAGTATTTCAGGGCACCCCTTTGTTGCACCCCTGGAAGGTCGGTCCCCTACTAGTAATGTGGGGAACATTTGCTGTAAACTGGGAGGCGGCTGATGGGGACAAAGGCTGAGTACGAGAATCGCAGGGTCAGAAAAAGACCCCTCAGAGCCGTCCCTGCACCCTGGCCCTAGGAAGGCCTCACGTAACTTTAAGGCCACCTGCAATGGCACCAGTCTACGAGGGCCCAGCGTTCTATGCAAATAAACTCGGCGGCCCCGCCTAGCGTCGCGGCTCCGGAAGCTGCTCTCCCTCCCCCTTCCTCCCCGCGCTTCCGGCCGGGCTGGTGCCCCTACGAGCCCGCAGTCCCTGCCTGGCGGCGATGGCGCGGCGCGTACGCGTGCTGGTGGACATGGACGGCGTCCTGGCTGACTTCGAGACCGGCCTCCTGCGGGGCTTTCGCGACCGTTTCCCCGGGGAGCCGCACGTGCCGCTGGAGCAGCGCCGCGGCTTCCTGGCCCGCGAGCAGTACCGCGCCCTGCGGCCCGACCTGGCGGTAGGGGGCGCGGGGTCCCCACCCGGGCAGGGCCGGCTACCACCGTTCGCGGGGCCACCTCTTCTGTGTGAATGGAGCAGAGCTCTCACCCCAGAACCCGCGGGCAGCGCACCCTGGGGAGGAGTCTTTGGGCGCGTGCCCCTGAGCGAAGCCCCCTCCGCAGCCCTGAGCCGGAGCCCGGAGCCCCTAGGAAGCTCCCTGCGAGTCCTCGCTGGAGCTGGCTCTGTCAGAGGCAGAAACCGGGACTCAGATCTCTTGTCTTTCAGGACAAAGTGGCCAGTGTGTACGAAGCCCCAGGCTTTTTCCTGGACCTGGAGCCCATCCCGGGGGCCTTGGACGCCGTGCGGGAGATGAACGACCTGCCGGAGTAAGGAGGGCGAGGGCGGGCGGAGGCCTGGGTGGGCTTCGGACTCCCGGCTCCCAGCAGTGACCACGTCCTCCTCCTCCGTAGCACGGAGGTCTTCATCTGCACCAGTCCCCTGCTGAAGTACGACCACTGTGTGGGTGAGAAGGTGTGGCTGCCCGGCCCCCCACCGCACATGGAGCTGCCTAAATCCTGATTTTAAAAAGAAACCACTAGAACTAGAAGGTTGGGGGTGGGGGGCGGGCTCTCAAGGGCTTAGGCCCCACTCCTTGCCCCTGAATTCCGGCTCCCATCAGGCCCTACTGATAGACCTGTGTCTCTTACACAGTACCGCTGGGTGGAGCAGCACCTGGGGCCCCAGTTCCTAGAGCGAATTATCCTGACAAGGGACAAGACGGTGGTCTTGGGGGACCTGCTCATTGATGACAAGGACACAATTCGAGGTTGGATCCGTCATCTTTGGCAGCCTTCAGGCCTCTGGCCTACCCGGAGTAGGGAGGGGGAGTAAAAATAACCAGATGACAGCGGGCTGCCTTTCCTGTCCTAGGCCATGAGGAGACCCCAAGCTGGGAGCACATCTTGTTCACCTGCTGCCACAATCGGCACCTGGTCCTGCCCCCAACAAGGAGACGGCTGCTCTCCTGGAGTGACAACTGGAGGGAGATCTTAGACAGCAAGCGAGGAGCTGCGCAGAGGGAATGAGAGGGATGCCGCGGGCAGCGGCTGAAGCTGAAGGGCAGGCCCGCAGGGGCCACCGCAGAGCCGAGTCAGGGTGGCATTGTGCTGGTCGCTGGCCCCGTGGAATGGAGCAGGTAGACACCATAACCTCTGTGTTGCCAGGCCACAGGCCCAGCCCCTGGTACCTCCCGAGAGGCTGCCCCTGGACCCTGGCTGGCATGCAAATAGGGTGGGAAAACTAGTCAGGACCCTTTTAATAAAAGACCTTGGCTTTCTAGTCTTCTAGGATGCTTTATTTGGGAGTGTAAAGGGACAGGTTCCCTGGGTGGATGCTGATGAGCCCTGCCCTTCCCTCTGAGTCCAGTGGCCCCCGAATCTACCCCATTTCCACCCCCATTGTGGATACCATTCCTGTAGCACTTGCCAGTCCTGGGCCATCTAAGGGGTCAGCCTTGAAGGGGTACACAAGAGGCAAGAACCCCCCATTTTCCCTGAGCTCCAGCTTTCCATCGGGTCCCACGTACCTTCTGTTGACCAGGGCACATCGCGCACATGGAGCCACATCCTTTATGTTGCTGTCTCTTCCTGTCTCCCTTGAGCACCACTCTTTCACTGCGTCCCTGATGCCCTCACGAGATGTACTTCTGGGGTAGGGGCTCCCCATCACTGAGTATGACAGCGTAGGAGGAGGGTGAGGGGGAAAGATGCAGCTCCCCAGGGTTATGCCTCCATTCCGATGTGTCATCACTCCCATGGCCTTTTCTTGATGCCTGATGGCCACATGAAGTCACTGGGCCATGTCACTCAAGGGCAGGGACCCCCATCATCTTGGAGTCCCTTATGTGGTGCCTGGCAGAAAGCAGGACTGGGCAGATGATTCATGCTGGGCCACAGGTTATCCAGGTTGGCATCCCCACACCCAAATGCCCGGCCTGGAGAGCCCCTGGGGGAGGTATCCGTCCTCCACAGCCCTCAAGGGAGGCACCACACCTTCCCAGGGTGAGATCCTTTCACCGTGAGGCATCTCATTCCTGTCCCTGAGAACTACTCCGGACACTTCTGTTAAGGTTAATCCCCTATTTTCTGTTATGAAGGTAGCTCTCTTAAGCGTCAGTCCCAGTTGCTGAGAACACTGTCCTGCAAAGCCTCTGGGTCTGGGCATGTGGCTGCTTTTTTTTTTTTGAGATACAGTCTTGTTCTATCACCAGGCGCCAGGCTGGAGTGCAGTGGCGCAATCTCAGCTCACTGCAACCTCTGCCTACCGGGTTCAAGCATTTCTCCTGCCTCAGCCTCCCGAGTAGTTGGGACTGTAGGCGTGTGCCACCATGCCTGGTTAATTCTTTTATTTTAGTAGAGACAGGGTTTCACCATGTTGGCCAGGATGGTCTCAATCTCTTGACCTCATGATCCGCCTGCCTCGGCCTCCCAAAGTGCTGAGATTACTGGCGTGAGCCACTGCACCACGTAGCTGCTGCTTACACTACCGCCTGGCAGTGGTGGCACTGGACATAGGGTTGAGTGCAGGCCTATGGAAGCAGCTCCAGTTTCTTCATGTGTCTCTGAGTCTGGCTTCCTTAACTGAATGGCATTTCATCACAGTGTAAATACCTGTCCTGCTGAAAGAACTCGCCTTTCCAATGGCCGAAAAGGCACCACTTGGGCAGCATGTCCTCCCCCTGTGCCCTGTGTCCACACCAGGCCCGTGGTCTCCAGCAGTAGGAGTGCTATAGTCTCAAGGTCTCCATGGATCAGCGCTGCTGTGGGGACACGCTCCTAGGCAGTGGGATACCCAGGGCAGAGTGCGCTTGCCGGCTGTGGGCCTCGGCCACCTGGCTAGGGGAGCAATAGTCCTCCAGGAAGATCTGCGCCAGGTTCCGGAGCCTGGCACTGGCTGAGAGGGAGAAGCGCAGCATGCACTGCACCACGGGTGCGGCAGTCAGCTCTGGGGGGCGGCTGGGGCCCAGTGTGCTCAGGTGTATGAGCGTGGTGATGGCAGACAGTACCGTCTCCTCGTTGGGGCTGGACAGGCAGTTGATGATGAGAGGGATGCCTCCTGCCTGCAGGATGTGTTCCTTGTTGGCCCTGTCTGGGCACAGGTTGCACAGGCCTCCTGTGGGAGAATAAGGAAGAATCTGTATGCTGCAGCCTCAGCCTTCCTCCCAGCTCCCCAGCCCATGAGCCCCAGGAAGGGACCCAGGCCAGAGAGAAGCTTGCCCCAGTACAAGGGATCCAAAGCCCATTCCGGCTTCCTGCCCTCTCAAGCTTTCAGAAAGGCCTTCCTGCCTGCTCCAGCCTGCCACAGCCCAGCTTTCTGAAAGTGGGCACAAATCCCTTTCCTTCTCAGTTCAATGGCTAATGTGCTTTTTTCCATTTCTTAAATGTAAAAAAGTAAAACAAAGCTGGGCACGGTGGCTCATGCTTGTAATCCCAGCACTTTGGGAGGCTGAGGTGGGTGGATCATCTGAGGTCAGGAGTTCAAGACCAGCCTGGCCAACATGGTGAAACTCCATCTCTACTAAAAATACAAAAATGAGTTGGACGTCGTGGTACGTGCCTGTAATCCCAGCTACTTGGGAGGCTGAGGAAGGAGAATCTCTTGAACCGGGGAGGCAGAGGTTGCAGTGAGCTGAGATTGTGCCACTGCACTCCAGCCTGGGTAACAGAGCAAGACTGTTTCAAAAACAAATAAATAAAATAAAAAACTAAAACAAAATCTGTAATACATCGTCGTCACCTTAGAACAATTTTTTTTGAGACAGTCTCTCTCTGTAGCCCAGGTTGGAGTGCAGTGGTGCGATCTCAGCTCACTGCAACCCTGCCTCCCGGTTTCAAGCAATTCTTCTTCCTCAGCCTCCCGAGCATCTGGGACTACAGGTGCTTACCATCATACCCAGCTAACTTTTTGTATTTTTTAGTAGAGACAGGGTTTTACCATGTTAGCCAGGATGGTCTCAATCTCCTGACCTCGTGATCTGCCCGCCTCGACCTCCCAAAGTGCCGGGATTGAGCCACAGCACTTTGGGATGAGCCACAGTGCCTGGCCAAGCAGAATTTCTAAGCAGAAAGACATGACCCAGGATCGGTAAGAGGAGGAGATACGGTGTAGCCACCCAGCGCTCTGTGCCAGGCAGATCCAGTGAGGATCTCAGCACTGCCACTGAGGACCAGGTGACCAGAGCCAGCTACTCAATTTCTCTAAGCCTTGGTTTCTTCACCAGTAAAACTAGCACAGAAATGAAATGATGTGATTAGCGCATCTTGTTTGGACACACAGGTGATGTGGAGTAAGAATCCACCTGTTCAGAGCCCAGAGGTTGGCAGTACCAGACTTGTAGCCCTCACATACGGAATAGTACCAGCACATACACACAGTTTATCAATGAGAAAGCAAGTGCCCGTGTAGCCAGTATCGAGGTGATCCATAAGCCTTCACATGTGCCTTTCTGATCCAATCCTCTCCCTCCCTCAGAGACACACACCTTGCTGGTTATACTGTATTACTATGTGTCTAGCATCATTTGCTAAATATGTTTGTAAGATTGCTGCATGCAACTGTAGATCTCAGTTTCGTTGTTAAATAGTAGAAGTATCCCATGATGTCAGTATCCATTCTCCTGCTGACCATCTTGGGTTTGGGACTGTTACAGACAGTACTGCTAGTGGCGTTTCACTGCATGTGCATGTCCCCTAGCCCTGTGGATTGAAGTGCTGGATCATGGAGTGTGCCTACTATCTTCAACTTTTTTGAGATGGAGTCTCGCTCTGTCGCCAGGCTGGAGTGCAGTGGTGTGATCTCAGCTCACTGCAACCTCTGCCTCCCAGGTTCAAGCAATTCTCCTGCCTCAGCCTCCCTAGTAACTGGGACTAGAGGCGCGCACCACCACTCCCAGCTAATTTTTGTATTTTTTAGTAGAGATGGCGTTTCACCATGTTGGCCAGGATGGTCTCGATCTCTTGACCTCGTGATCTGCCCGCCTTGGTCTCCCAAAGTGCTGGGATTACAGGCGTGAGCCACCGCACCTGGCCTGTCTTCAACTTTACAAAATATTGGTTTTCTTATTTAAAAAATGTTTACTATTATTATTGAGATAAGAGTTTCACTCTGTCCCTTAGGCTGGAAGTGCAGTAGCACGATCTTGGCTCACTGCAACCTCCACTGTTGAGCTCAAGCAATTTTCCTGCCTCAGCCTCCCAAGTAGCTGGGATTACTACACACATGCACCACCACACCTGGCTAATTTTTTTTTCGTATTTTTAGTAGAGATGGGTTTCACCATGTTAGTAAGGCTGGTTTCAACTCCTGACCTCAAATGATCCATCCACCTTGACCTCCCAAAGTGCTGGGATTACAGGCACGAGCCCACCGCGCCCAGCCCAAAGTACTGTTTTCCAAAGAGGCTGATAAGGAATTATTTACCAGCCTTTATCGGAACACCACTACCATCTGGTGGCAGCTACATGTATTGCAGGAAATAGAACACAGGAAAGAGATTAACCTGAATTCTGGGAGGCCACCTTCTTAAACTCTGTTTTAGTAACAAAACTGCTAAATATTCTATAATATTCTAGGATTCAACCAGTTTTCATGAAAGTAGAAAATTATCTCCTGATTCCTTCATATCTTCATACAGCATCTATGCTGGATGGTGCAGGTAGGTACACAGGACATCTGAGAGTCAGTCAATGGCGCTGTGGGCAGACCCTCCATACTTTCATTTAGGACTTGAACTCTGAATTATTTCATTCAATGACTATTTACTGAGACCCTGGCTTTACATCTGGTTTCCATAATTCATCCACCTCCCATCCATCATCCCAAACAAGGGCAGCTCTGGCCTGACCAAGGACGCCTCCTGGGGTCAGTTCCTTCTTTTTTTGTTTGTGTTTTTCTTTGAGACAGGGTCTTGCTCTATCACCCAGGCTGGAGTGCAGTGTTGTGATCACGGCTCACTGCAGCCTCAACCTTCTGGACTCAAGTGATCCTTCTGACTCAGCCTCCTAAGTAGCTGGGACTACAGACATGCACTACCATGCCTTGTTAATTTTTTATATTTTTTTTGTAGAGGTGGGGTCTCACTATGTTTCCCAGGCTGGCCTCAAACTCCTGGGCTCAAGTGATCCTCCTACCTTGGCCTCCCAAAATGCCAGAATTACAGGCATGAGCCACTGCACCCAGCCCCAGTGACAGCTCCTCTATGACACTGGTAACACATGGCCGGGCGCGGTGGCTCATGCCTTAATCCCAGCACTTTGCGAGGCTGAGGTGGGTGGATCACTGAGGTCAGGAGTTCGAGACCATCCTGGCCAACATCACAAAACCCCGTCTCTACTAAAATATAAAAATTAGCAGGGCGTGGTGACAGGTGCCTGTAATCCCAGCTACTTGGGAGGCCGAGGCCGGATAACTGCTTGAACCCGGGAGGCAGAAGTTGTAGGTGAGCCGAGATTACACCACTGCACTACAGCCTGGGTGACAGGGCAAGACTCCATCTCAAAAAAAAAAAAGTGGCCCCAAACCATGGGCACTATCAGTTGCGGCAGAAATGTCTTCCCGCCAGAACTCACTCAGGAATGTGGCAGAGGCAGCAAGGTGCAGTAGAGACAAAGAACAAGGGAAGAAAATGTCCTGGAGGCTGAGCCTGAGCCTGGACAGAAAAGGCAGCCAGAAGCACAGGGAAAGGGTCAATAAGCTGGTTCCACAATTGTTCTAAACGGACAAACCCACCAGAGGCCAAGAAAGGGGCTGGAGACAACATGCATGTTCTCCACGATTGCTGTAAACTGATCCTTCCTCATGGCTGTGGCTGTGCCTATGGGGGCAACTGAGAGGATGCCAGAGGAGAAAGGGACCCCCGCATAGAGATGATGGTTAGCGAAGCCAGGCTGCTGCTGGTGAGTGGACGCTGCCACTGCAGGTCTACTGCCACTGCTGATGGGAACACCTGGGTCCAGACTGAAGCCCTGGCTGACATCGAGTCAGAGCGGGGGTCTTTCTGGAGGCCTGCAGGGCCCTAAGCATGGAAATAAAGGAAACTCTTGAGTCCCTTCAAGAAATTCCAGGCACCTAGCTAGCCCTGAGAAGCAAATGAGTAACTTGATAAGCAAGAAGGTCATAGTTAGCTTAAAACAATAGCCAAGGAAGTCAGGATCAGAGAATGTCTTCTTTCCCCAGAGAAACTAACATCCTTTTTTTTTTTGAGACAGTCTCACTCTGTTGCCCAAGCTGGATGCAGTGGCGTGATCTTGGCTCATTGTAACCTCTGCCTCATGGGTTCAAGCAATTCTCCTGCCTCACCCTCCCGAGTAGCTGGGATTACAGCTGCCACTATGCCTGGCTTATTTTTCTATTTTTAGTAGAGACGGGGTTTCACCATGTTGGCCAGGCTAGTCTTGAACTTTTGAGCTCAATTGATCCACCTGCCTCAGCCTCTCAAAGTGCTGGGATTACAGGCCTGAGCCACAGCGCCCAGCCTAAAGATAACATATTAACATAAGCCCCAAGAGTTGCTTTTCAGAAACCTAGATCCCCACCAAACGGTTCCCCTGGCACTGAGACTGCGGATAAGGGGAACTGAAATGGGCACTCTGACCACTCTTTAGATCAATTTTTTGTTCTGAATTTTTCCCTGAAGGGCCTGGAGGACACGCCCACAGAATGGCTAGCATTCTTTTTTGCTGACTGCAAATTTGTAGACAAAGCTTCACCTCCTTAACCAATCGCAAATCAGAAAATCTTTGAAGTCACCTGTGATCTGTGCCCCCATCCCTTGGAGACATCCTGCCTTTTTAGGCCAATATAGCCTCCGTGTGTTGATTTAAAACTTTGCCTATAATCTCTGGCTCCCTGCCTTTAAATACCCTTTACCCATAAGACACCTGGGAGTTTGGGTCTTAAGCATGAGCTGCCGGATTCTTCTTGCTTGGTACCCTGCAATAAAGGCCTCATTTGCAGCCGGGCGGTGGCTCATGCCAGTAATTTCAGCACTTAGGGAGGCTGAGATGAGCAGATCACCTTAGGTCAGGAGTTCAAGACCAGCCTGGCCAACATGGTGAAACCCTGTCTCTACTAAAAACACAAAAATTAGCTGGGTGTGGTGGCAGGTGCCTTTA